AAATTCTCACGACGTTTCGACCATAACACAAACGGTCGTCATCAGGTGTGTCGGTTTATTTAATACACCGTTTAAAAATAAATCAATTTATGCAAACCGACACACCTGATGACGACCGTTTGTGTTATGGTCGAAACGTCGTGAGAATTTTTATTGTTTTATATATATTTTATTATTTTATTGTTTCCGTTCAACGTGACTTTACCAAAAGAGTTAAGAACAGAATCTGTATTTTATACTGGAGGAATCCGATGAGCTATAAAGCTCCTTTTTTCACAGATGTCCAGTAGGGGCACGAGGTCAGAACGTTACCACAGCAAACACAATACAAAACACCACAAAATGAGTGCAAAGTACAGGAAATGTGAGCACATGCCAAAAAATAAACACTTGGGCTACAGTCAGCTGGTAACCCTGGGAATTAAAACTCACGAAGCCAGCCGGAACGTCTTGGTGTTCTAATGGAGACGAGCCCATGGCGCCAATTATCCACCTCTCCCAAACGCCTCAAACATTGTCCCTATCTTTCTTCTCTCTTGTAAACATCCATTAAGCGATGTACATGGCAGTTCAGTGCACCGCACGAATTTAATACATCTGCCCAATTTTTTGTTCAAATGCACGCGGAAGCGTAAGGTGGTTTCAACTAACATATGGCGAGGGGCGTTTGAAAAAAAAACAATCATGCACTGGCGCATTCAGGGAGAATTTGGCCTCGTTCCGTGGGATACTATGTGGTTAAAACGAAATCAAATTTTTCTCCCCAGAAAATAAATAATTATACATCTGCGGTGTTTTTTTAATGATCGGCTCAGATGCACGCCGAATGAAATGCGGTTCGTCTAAAATGACGTTTCAGGAACGTTCGTTTATTTAGTTTGGTAAAAGACAATAAATGTAAATATCGGATCATCACGTGCCTGCGATTCGCCACGGAGAGGACAACGTCCGTCCTTACGTGCGGCTCCGTGAACGCATCGCGAGGTTTTAATAATTGATCGATACTGATCCACGTGATCGAATCGCTGTCTTATTAGGAAGCTGCCGAAGCTGTTAGGAAGCCACTAGAGGTTTATGAGGAAGGCACTGAAGCTATGCGCTTTTAAATCTAAATTGAAAAATAATGTCGTGAGAACTGCTTTTTGTGTTTAGTTTGTTGTCCTTCCGCCGCACCTCCGATTAGCGCGGTTGGCTACATACGGTGCGAAAGAAGCTCAGCGTACAGTACCGTACCATTGTCACATCCCTGAGGTTAGAGACCCCCCCCCCCCCCTAGGCCACCTGGCCCAGCATAAAGGAAAAATGACAGAAACTCTGTCAAAATAGCTCACTCACGACTCTGACGGAGGAAGGGCCTCGACGAGAGGAAGTCTGGACAGCTCCCTCTCGGTGGGATATTTAGACCTACTCTTACACCCTGGCCACACATCTTAGAAGAGGTGGGAGTTACCCACACTTTATCCCACTTTTCCCCACCACACGCGACCTGCCAATAAATGCATCCATTTATATTGCCGCGTGGACAATATATATATTTTTATTTTACCACACAGTAATGAATATAAACGTTTCTGCCGCTCATTTCCACATTAATGTGCATTAGCCAATAACCGCTGAAACAATTTTCGAAAATTTCCTTGATGCCTCGCTTATTGTTGGTAATTATGGGCAGTTTATCTTCAACATCATTGAATTAAACCCCCGACACTGCTTAGGCCATTTATTTAAATTGTCAGTGTGCTCCAGTAAGTCGTGGTCCTCGTTCCATTTGGTTGCCTTTTTATTACGGTGGCAACTTGCTTTTGGTATTATAATTTTTTTTTGTAAAACTTATTCCAATGTTTGCTATCGACATCACGTCACGAGGTTCCATCCTTGCGCACGATAGCAGCAACAGGAGAATGTTCATGGAGCTAAGTGCCAATGTCGAGGCCTGCTGGCCGTGACGAGAGGGCTTCTACAGTTTGAGTTTGTGCGGTTTTGTTGTTCCTCCTCCTGCTCCGTTGGAGGAGCACAGACACCGGTGGTTTACTACGCGGTCCATCGCTTGGCTTGCATGGCCACGATCGCACTGTCATGGGGTGCGGAATCCATTCGACAAATCTCACAGAGCGACGGAATCGCGTGTGTCAGGGGGAACGGTTGAAAGGGGAGACGTTTTTACGTAACGTGTACCTGTAAATCTTCGCCTCTTTATCCGTCATGCAGCAAAGGGCGGCGCACTTTCTCGCGCACTCTGCAGTGAGATTGTCACATGACAGTCGGGCAATTAGTTTCAAAATTTAAGAGCTAGAATAATTTTGCCAAATCGATGACATTTACGTACAAATTCCTTCTCAAGCTCCGCCCACTTACCCTTGGGTTGGGCCCACCAAAAGCCTGTATAACCTATTTTTAGCAATCTTTGGAAGAACGTTAATCAACCAGGTAGGGTGTTGACCGTTATGTTAGCCGACTCTCTGTGTTGTCTTGCATTATATCTATACGTTTACTAGGTTAGTTTTCTCTTTCATTTGTACCTAATGATGATTGCTTGTGTTGAAATCGAAACGTGGTATGCTATTATTTGATTTATTTTCTATCTACGTGACTTTACCGAAATAACCAACCTCTTGTTGCAGCAGTTCTCCTGCTGTGTTTGTTTCACCTGATGACGGTTGCTTGTGTTCGCGATCGAAACGTCGTGATCTATTATTTTTCCATCTACGTGACTTCACCGAAAGGACCAAAGAGCATGGATTCCTACAGTGACGAAAGCTTCAAATCAAGATTAAAATCAAACTTATTATAATGGATTGTGTGTGTGTGTATGCATTAATTCGTGACTGGGCTAAGGCCATCAGCTCGCTACACTTGAGAACCCGGTTTTTAATCGTGGCTTGCCCAGATTCAATCGCAGGATCTCAGTGGTGCCAGCTCATCGCCTTGACCCCCCTAAGCCACTCGGTCACGTCGGCTGTAACTTTCATGTAAGAGTAGTTGTAAGTCCCTCGCGCGCACGTGTTTTGTGACGTGCCAGTGAACTCCTCATTATCGCCCAGAGCCCTGGCTAGACATGTCGGCGCCCTTGGCAAGGTGGGTGCCACTGTCGTTGCCACCCACCAACCCACCACCACCACCACTCCCCCCCCTGACCTCCCCCCAACCCACGTGCCTCACTGCCTCTGTGTGCGTCGTTACATTTTCAACAATTTGGGTTTGCGTGTGTGTATGTTGAACGTCTTTCTCACCGTATGTAGCCAACCGTGATAATCTGAGGTGCTGATTATACAGATGACCACGTCTGTAGAGGGAATATATATACATGTGTATATCCATGTTTGATTCCCAATTATGACAGTGTCTCCTCCTTGATATAACTTTGCCATTACCTTTTCTTTTCATGTTATAGTTTTCAAGCAAAAATATTTGTGTTCTGCTGTTTTTTTCATTTCGTATGCCAAAAACTTAAAATTCCATCACGAAGCATGCGGCGATGCAAGCTTGGCATTATAGTGGCAAGATGTTAACTACCTCGTCTGGCATACAGGAGGTCGTGGGTTTAATCTCGACCCTGATGCCTGTATATATGAAGTTTGCTTGTCTCTCTCCTCGTGGTCACGTGGATTTTTCTCCAGGTCCCCCAGTTTTCCCCCTCCACATTTACAATCGACTTGCTGTTTAGAAAACGCGGCTGCTATGAATTTCCATGTGACAAGCCTCTTGGTTGAGATGTCATTCGTGGCCAAGTCGCTTCTGATAAATGAGCCGCATCGAGCTCGTTGGGTGTTACTTGATAAAAAAATATAAATAAATTAGTTTATTTTTTAAAGTTTACATTGAGAGACAGAGAGAGGAACACGTGTATTAGATAACATACCGAGGGTAATAACATCGTTTAAACTCTAAGGAGAAGTAAGTTGGGCTTGGGTAGGACACATCGTGGCTATAAGGGACCATTGCCGATGGCCAAGGATAACGAAAGCCAATGATTGAAACGAGAAGACCTGTGCCACAGAGATGGAGCGATGGAATCGGCGTGTGTCCGCGAGCTGGGTAGATTTTCTGCATCGCGGGATGATGGTAGATGAAGGCAACAATAGGGATCCTTCATCAAGCAGTGGATGTATCAGGGCTGACGATGATGATGATGAAGTCTATGGGATGCATGCTGTTGCGTCGTGTGTGCATACAACTCTGGCCGCTTTAATAAGTATAATGCACACGACATAACACGCACAAAAGAACGTTTTAAAGTGTGTGCAGAGGGGGGAGTAGAGTGAGATGAGTGAGGCAGCAGAGTGCTTTGAGGGGAGTAGAGTGTGAGACGAGAGAGGTAGGAGAGTGCGTGGAGGGGAGTAGAGAGTGAGACGAGAGGGGAGAGGTGGGCAGAGTCCACCGAGGAGGATCGTCAAGACGACGGCGATCGCCACCGCCATGTGTATCCGCCACGTGTACCCGGCGTGTACCCACGGCGTGTACTTGCCACGTGTACCCGGCGTGTACCCACGGCGTGTACCGACGGCGTGTACCCACGGCGTGTACCCACGGCGTGTACCCACGGCGTGTACCGACGGCGTGTACCCACGGCGTGTACCCGCCACGTGTACCCGGCGTGTACCCACGGCGTGTACCGACGGCGTGTACCCACGGCGTGTACCCGCCACGTGTACCCGGCGTGTACCCACGGCGTGTACCCACGGCGTGTACCGACGGCGTGTACCCACGGCGTGTACCCGCCACGTGTACCCGGCGTGTACCCACGGCGTGTACTTGCCACGTGTACTTGCCACGTGTACCCGCCGTGGAGTGGAGGAAGCGAGAGCCGGGCCGCGCGATCCCCAAACGGAGGACAACGGTGACGACGCCGATGAGCTCTCGGCTTCGCGAGGGTTTGCGTGCGTGTGTGCGTGCGGGAGACGGTGGTGGTAGTGGTGGTGGTGGTGTGGTGGTGGTGTGGTGAGGAGCCACAGCGACGTCTCTCCCACCCCCCTCCCTCCTCCTCCCACCCCCTCCGAAAGGAGCCGCCTCGCGCGTCGGGCGAGTCCCGAGAGTCGCGTGCGGAGTGCGCTGTGGTGGCGTGCGCGCCCGCACTCCCCGCTACATGTCCACGCGCCCGCGCTGCCAGGGCACGCTGGTGGCACGCGAGCAGCAGCGGCAGCAGCAGCAGCGGCAGCGGCGGCGGTCGTCGTCGTCGTCGTCGCTGGCGAGGAGCGGGCGAGAATCCCCGAGTCGTCTCTCCAGCGGAGGAACCCGCCACGCGGCGTCCTTCGAGGTAGCGCGCACACCCCCCCACCCCCCACCCCACCCCCTGCCTGCCCCCTCCCTGCCTCCTCGTGGGTTTGGCGTTCGTGGTTGGCGCGTCTGCGCCGCCCGGTACGAACGTGGTGGCTAGCGAGATGTTAACTACCTCGCCTGGTATGCAGGAGGTCGTGGGTTCGATCCCGAACCTGACGACGCCTGCTGCTGTATATTTGGAGTTTGCACGTCGCTCTCTCTCACTCATCATCACGGTGGCTAGGGAGGTGTTAACTACCTCGCCTGGTATGCAGGAGGTCGTGGGTTCGATCCCGAACCTGACGACGCCTGCTGCTGCTGTATATTTGGAGTTTGCGTGTCTCTCTCTCATCATCATCACGGTGGCTAGGGAGGTGTTAACTACCTCGCCTGGTATGCAGGAGGTCGTGGGTTCGATCCCGAACCTGACGACGCCTGCTGCTGCTGCTGTATATTTGGAGTTTGCATGTCGCTCTCTCTCTCCACGATTTTGTCCCCCGGTCCTCAGGTTTTTTTCCCCTCCACATTTAGAATTGAAGATTGTTTCGGAATATGGCTTCATAAGAATGGAAACCATTGACACAATTTCTGTGATCAGTGCCACCCGCTGGAAGTCACGGTGGCGAGATGTTAGCTACCTCGGCTGGTATACAGGAGGTCGTGGGTTCTATGTCGACCCTGACGATGTCCGTATATTTGAAGTGTTCACACTCTCCCCGTGGTCGCGTAGATATTTCTCCTGCCGCCTCCACATTTAAAAAAAAACACGTGCTCGGAGTATTTGTCTGCAATACAATTCCACGTGACAATGAGCCACTTTGTCGAGCGATCATTTGTGAGAGCCAGGTCGCTTCTGAAAAAAAAGAGTTACATAGCTCAATGGTTCTTTAACTGGTTTAAAAAAAAAGTGAATTAGTTCATCATTCCACCTCCGCTCGTGGCCTCACCGCCAGCTGATGAACGCGTGAGCGCGTTCTGGGCTTCCTCTAAGTCGGCACGGCCTTCAAAGAGTGCGCCAGGGCCTGCGACGGGAGTGGAGGGAGGGGTGGCGAGTAATCCGTCTCTTTCGTGGAGTGATCGTGAAGTTTAACACACAACACACACACACTTTATAATGTTAATGCTGTCCCCCGCACACGCGACCTCCCGTGAACTTTCCAAATACTCGAATGTGGCATCAAAACACTCCGCTGGGAAACTTCACAACACTCTACTGAGCACGGAATGTGAACTCTGATTCATCGCTCACGCATTGCTGCCCGTTGCTTTATTGCCACCGGCGTGACACCTCGTGCCGACTTCTCTCGACGTAACAAGTTGAAGGCTGAGCCTTCAACATAGACGGGGTGCTTAGCGCCTCGCCCCCGCAACCCCCCTTCTCCCCTCTCACAGCGCCTCCGACGCTTCAGGACTGGGCGCAGCACAGGATGGAGTCTTGATTATTATTATTTTTAAAATATGTATTCGAGCAGAAAATCCCGGTGCCAGAAATTTCGCGTTCCCACCCGAAAAATAATAATAATAATAATCCCAATAATAATGACAGCTTAAATTGCGCCTTTCGTCGAATCTCAAGGCGCTGTACATCAACGACAACGGAATGGTGGGTGTGGGGGGGTGTTAGTGGTTGAGTCAGGAAGTAACTTTGAGTTCAAATGGAAAACGACTTCTGAAAAGGGGAATGTCTTTCGGTGGAAGGACTTGAAGATCCCAACCGAACCGAACTCTCTGATAGCCCTCGGCAGAGAGTCCCAAGTCGGGGTCACACGGGAGAGTGAAGGCCCAGAGAGTCATCTCCTGGTGAAGCGCAAAGCGGCTGGAGTAAATTGGCACCCAACCGTAACTCTAATTCAAACATGTTCAGCGGTGGGAACAAATAATCATACCCCTGGGGGTACGAATATGTACCATAGTGGAGACAACTATTTGGGGGAAGCGGTATTTGCTTGTAACAGCCTCAGTGAAAAACTCGACCAGTTTAAGTACAGGTTTGGTGAATGTGGCCTCTTTGGTCACAGCGAGTGTGAACGCATTATCTGAACGAGCGATCGGGTATAATGGTTATGGCAATGCAAAATCCTAGGAGATCTTAACGCGTTACCAGAGAAAGTTGTGCCGACTTTGATCATCTTTGATCAATGATCACAGTGAGAGCTACGCTCTGACGAATAGGGGACACTGATAGGCAAGTATGCCATACAACGATTAGTAACACATTTTACGCTTGAAAATCAGAGCTCACCAGAAGTCTATAAATTAATCCCTATCGTCACCATCATTGTCAATTTCCATTCTCAATGTACTCCCGATTGAGGTGTCCCATCATAGGACTACCAGGTCTGTGTCACGAGACTCTGTTAACTTGACTTGATTCGTCCACCTCATCTTAACTACTGCAGTGTTATCACGTGCATAACGGAACAATGTGCATCCATTTAGTCAATGTTTTACTGCAACAAGACCTCTCTAAGCCATGTCGGACATTGAGTATTTGTTTGACCACACTTTCATAGTAGAGGTTTTTTTTGGGGGTTAGATCGCGTAAATATATGAATGTGTCGTTAAACCCGCCACCACCCGACACAGCCAACTAGTAAGGGTTGTCACGTGAACAGAACGTAGTACAGCACCCACCGGTGTGTTGGAGAGCCAAGCCACAACATTTGCAATCTGAGTACGACGTTTCGCAAGTTAAAAAAAAAAACCTCTGCTATGGATGATATTGGTCGCGAAAGCCTACGTGTTAAATCGACCATACTCCACCACAGTGGTCGGTGCGTGTTGATGAAGTGGGGTGTGGATCCTCAGAAACTGTTTTTTTTTGGGGGGGGGGGGGGGGGGGGGTCGGGGGATATCACTCGCCCGACTGCAATTAGCCATGTCCTGGAATCGAATTCTGGTTGTGTGTTTTTTGTTTTGTTCCAGGGGGCCGTCCATAAATGACGTCACGCGAATTTTGACGATTTTTGACTCCCCCCGCCCTTCGTCACACGGCGTCATAAAAAGTCAGACCCCCCTCAAATATGACGTCACAAAGCTCTGCCCCCCCCCCCCGAATAAAACATGCTTCAAATCGCTTTGATGTTGTAGGAGAAAACATTTATTAAAAAGTCTATTTAATTAAGTAGAACGTGTTGTCTATATTTATGTAAAGTTGCGCATTTTGATGTGACGTCACATTTCTCAAACCCCCCCCCCTCCTCGTCACACATCGTCACAAATGTCTGACCCCCCCCCCCAGGTGCGTGACGTCATTTATGGACGGCCCCCAGGTGCACAACGCAATGCGCTAACCACCCGTGCCACCGCTCGGCCAAGTCGTACTCGATAGAGCAGCGATTCCCAACCTATAATAATAATAGGGATTTTCGCCTTTTTTCTGGCAACAAAATTGAAACCTTTTTTACAAGGATTCATGTCTGCATTAACCACAATACCTGCAGTAAAAATGCAAACAAAAAACATACTATGATAATATATGCATTGTCCTTGAAACTGATTGGTTCACACCAAGGGACGGCTTTCTTTTGAGCCTCGACCCAATTGGTGCTCGACCACATGACGCCAAAAAGCGCACCAGGGACTGGTTTCGTGCAAGACAATTTTTTCACGGACCGGGTGGGGGGGGGGTGGTTCATCGTTGGGTCTTTCCCCCTTTCCAAAGAAGCTCTCCAGCGACGTTTGTTTGTTACTCATTGTGGCTACTAGGGGTTAGAGCTTCTGGGCTTACTCATTGTGGCTACTAGGGGTTAGACCTTGTGGGCTTACTCATTGTTCCTACTAGGGGTTAGAGCTTGTGGGCTTACTCATTGTGGCTACTAGGGGTTAGAGCTTGTGGGCTTACTCATTGTGGCTACTAGGGGTTTGAGCTTGTGGGCTTACTCATTGTGGCTACTAGGTGTTAGCTTGTGGGGTTACTCATTGTGGCTACTAGGGGTTAGAGCTTGTGGGCTTACTCATTGTGGCTACTAGAGGTTAGCTTGTGGGCTTACTCATTGTGGCTACTAGGGGTTAGAGCTTGTGGGCTTACTCATTGTGGCTACTAGGGGTTAGAGCTTGTGGGCTTACTCATTGTTGCTACTAGGGGTTAGAGCTTGTGGGCTTACTCATTGTGGCTACTAGGGGTTAGAGCTTGTGGGCTTACTCATTGTGGCTACTAGGGGTTAGAGCTTGTGGGCTTACTCATTGTGGCTACTAGGGGTTAGAGCTTGTGGGCTTACTCATTGTGGCTACTAGGGGTTAGATCTTGTGGGCTTACTCATTGTGGCTACTAGGGGTTAGCTTGTGGGCTTACTCAATGTGACTACTAGGGGTTCGCTTGTGGGCTTACTCATTGTGGCTACTAGGGGTTAGCTTGTGGGCTTACTCATTGTGGCTACTAGGGGTTAGAGCTTGTGGGCTTACTCATTTTGGCTACTAGGGGTTAGAGCTTGTGGGCTTACTCCTTGTGGCTACTAGGGGTTAGCTTGTGGGCTTACTTATTGTGGCCACTAGGGGTTAGAGCTTGTGGGCTTACTCAATGTGACTAATAGGGGTTAGCTTGTGGGCTTACTCATTGTGGCTACTAGGGGTTAGATCTTGTCGGCTTACTCATTGTGGCTACTAGGGGTTAGCTTGTGGGCTTACTCATTGTGGCTACTAGGGGTTAGAGCTTGTGGGCTTACTAATTTTGGCTACTAGGGGTTAGAGCTTGTGGGCTTACTCATTGTGGCTACTAGGGGTTAGCTTGTGGGCTTACTCATTGTGGCTACTATGGGTTAGCTTGTGGGCTTACTCATTGTGGCTACTAGGGGTTAAAGGTCGTGGGCTTACTCCTTGTGGCTACTAGGGGTTAGCTTGTGGGCTTACTCATTGTGGCTACTAGGGGTTAGAGCTTGTGGGCTTACTCATTGTGGCTACTAGGGGGTTAGAGCTTGTGGGCTTACTCATTGTGGCTACTAGGGGTTAGAGCTTGTGGGCTTACTCATTGTGGCTACTAGGGGTTAGATCTTGTGGACT